TGGGGCAGCTGGCCATTGGGGAGTGGGGCAGAACTGGGGTAGCAGCAAGATGATATCATGGCCCATCAGGCAGGGGCAGAGGAAGTGTAGGGCCTAGATGGGAGGGAGAAGGAAAAGGGAGAAGGCGAATGATAAATAAAAATATGGGGCTGAGGGAGTTGGCCTGTGGGGGCAGTGCAGACCCAGGGAGGCTATGTGCCACAGGTTCTCTAGCCGAGCAATACAATACAGCCTGTTGAGAAGGGAGGGGTGTGGCACACAGGGCTAGTGGGTGGAAGAAGGAAAAGAAGAGGGGGGAGAGAGAGAGAAGAAACAAAAAAATGAAAAAATAAACAAAAGCATAACAAAACAATGACGTTGAAGGTGCCTGCCAGTGGGGGCAACGTAGACCGGGTGCCGAGCAATGGACAACAGCCTGCTAAGAAGCGGTGGAGATGGCACATGGATCTAGGTGGGCAGGAGAAATGAAAGGAGGGAAGGGAGAGAGAGAGAGAGAGAAGAATCTGAAAAAAGAAAGTGCTGAGGGAGCCTGCTGGTGGGGTGGCGCAGACCCGAGGAGGCCATGTGCTGGTGGCTCTCTAGCCGAGTGGTGTGGCACAGCCATCAAGAAGGGGCAGGGACAGCCCATGGGGCTAGCTCAGTGGGAGAAAGGAAAAGGAAGGGAGAGAAAGAGAAGAAATGGAAAAAAAAAAAACAACAACAACAACAACGAACAAACAAAAAATGCACTGAAGGAGCTGGCCAGTGGGGGCAGGGCGGACCTCGGCAGCAGTGAGCTGGTGTCTCTCTGGCTGAGCGACCATGGCCTGTTGGAAAGTGGCAGAGGATGCGTAGAGGGAAGAAGGGTAGGGGTGGGAAAGCATGCATCCTTTGTTTCCATGTGCTCTGTCTCCTGTTGGGAGCTCCATGAAGTTGCCTTCCTATATTCCCTGTCCGCAGTCCTTGGTGGCTTTAGTCCATGATGGTGAATCCGTGTGGCATTAGCTGGTAGGGGACCTCCACTCTGTAGCTCTCCTCATTCTCTGTTCTGTCAGTTTCTCATTCCATTTGGTGCTTGATCGAGTTCTTTATCCCTTCATGTGATGCTTAGGGTTCCCGGATTGACATTTGTCCCTGTTTTACTTAGTTTTCCGGGTCTTTGCTGCAGAGGAACGGTATGGTGCTTCTGTCTATACTGCCCTGTTGGCTCCGCCAGTGCAGATTTTTTTGTGAAACATCCCATTCAAGTTTTTTTTCCCCTTTTAAGAAATTGAATTTCTTTTTATTATTTATTTGTGAAAGTTCTTCATGTATTCAGGATACAGTATATATATTGCAAACGCTTTTTACAGTCTGTGGCTTACCTTTTCATTTTCTTAGTGATGGCTTTTGAAGAGCAGAACATTGTAATTTATTCTCTCTTTTTTCTTTACGCCTTTATTTGTTTGTGCACGGTTCTTTACCAGGCAGGAAGGTCCTCCCTCTCCTTGATAGTCAATTGACAGCGTATGAAACGGTAATAACTCGGTGAAAAGGATGCTCTTGGTCCTTTTCTCCACAAGCTTGTGATCTACTTGAGCTCAGGGGCTGTGTTTTATTTAGTGCTTCACATCTACTGGAACACTGAGCAACTAGCAGTGCCCAATAGATGTACTGCTCATATACCTAAATGAATATGCTGAAAATTATAAAAGTCAATTCAGTCACATCAATTAGTTTCCTTGTACATCATTTTCTCCTCCTGAAAACAGGCCTGCATAAGCAATGAACATGTTTTGAAGTTACAAATATTGAGCCCCCTCATTACATGTGTATCAGTAAGCAGCCTGTGAGTGTCTACTTTCACAGGTTTTATTATTGTTGTTATTATTATTATTTCATCAATCCTGATTTTTGTTTGGAAAGCAGTATATGTAATTCTTAATAAATTAGATGCTCCTCATGAAATGCTGGGATATCTTGAACCAGAAAAACATATGACTAGTCAGAACTTGAGATGTAAGGGTCTGTCATTTTACTTCATCACGTAAGGTCAGCTTTTTATTCTAGCAAGGCTCAAAATCGTACGGACTACATAAAAATGACAATGCTGTCATTAAACCTGCCCATGGAATTCGGCCTTGAGGAATTCCACAGAGAACTCCAACTTGATAGTGGGAGCTAAGAAGTCATAATACTATTCAGACACAAAAGGACAGTGAAAATTTTTTCAAAAGCACAAGAGACACATGAAAACGGTGGGCTAATTGCGGAAGCAAAGGGCAACCTTCTCCTCACCACAGGAAGCCGCTGTGTGGAAAAGCCCCTGCTCTGCAGACAATGAGACACAATCGAACGGCATTGAGCACATTATGAAACAAGCATTCACGAGCAGAACGACTTTGTTCCATAGCAACAAAGCCTCAGGAAGTCCAGGATTTTATTGGCCAGATTACTGTATTGTTCTTCCAGGACAGCATGAGGCTTCACCCTGGAGCTATTGAAAGTACCAGAAGCAGGCGCGATATTCAGATATTTAAGTCACATGGAAAAGTATATACAGGAAGTATAGAAAATACAGTTACATGCAGAAATAGCCAGAATGCTCAGTTTCCAAATATGAAAAGTATATAATTAAGAAATTAATATAAAATGAATTTCTGAAGATTTGATACAGTAACTCGGAGTTGCTTAAGAAAAGCATATATTCATTGTTCAATATACAATCTTTGTTTCCGAAAGAACTAGCTCTGCTGAGGGGTCATGGAAATGTTCAAACATTTCCCTTTAGCCACACCTTTATGCTGGGAAGAGGCTGTGAGATAACCTTTCTCAAATGGCCAGGATCCCTGAAGGAGAGTGGTGGCATTGCCCCTCGCCCAGAAGCAGAGAAGAAACCCAGCACCTGTGGGAGGTGGAAGGACAGCAAGTTACTGGCAGCTTGTGATGACCCTGTGATCGTCCTGGAGATGGTCAGCCCAGACACCTCTCGGACAATGATCTGGCTCTCATTGCCCTAAGCCATGTCTGAATAGTGCCCATCTTCTCAAACATAATCCAAAATAGAGCTGAAATTCTTCTCTCATAAGAATTTGGTCACAACTGAATTACGAGGACCAGGATGCTAGAAATTCTAGTTGTAAAGAATATAAGCTGAAAAACTGTGAACTTCTTGAGAGCAGAAACTATGTCTTACCTTTAATAGCCTGTTGTTGTGGAATGAAGTATGCCCCCTAAAAATATAGGTTGCAATTCTAACCCTTGGACCTGGGAATGTGACCTTGTTTGGGGAAATAGGGTCTCTCTGAAAATACTGGTGACCCCATACGTGTCATAATAGAACTCTGCTCCATAGGGTTCTCAGTGGCTGACTTTTTGGCAGTAGATTGCCATGCCTTTCTTCTGAGGCACCTCTGGGTGGACTCAAACTACAACCTTTCAGTTGGCAGCTGAGCAAGTGAACTGTTTGCACAGTGACTCGACAGCAACTAATGATTTTTGAAAATATTATCAGTTAAGTCATACTTAAGTACCAAATCAATCAAACCCACTGCTATTGAGTAAGCTCTGACTTGCAGGGACCCTGTAGGACAGAGGAGAACTGCCCCATAAGGTTTCCAAGGCTGTAAATCTTCACAGAAGCAGACTGACACACCTTCCTCCCATGGTACGGCTGGTGGGTTCGAACCGCCGACCTTTTGCTTAGCAGCCAAGCACTTTAACCACTGCACCACAGGGATCCTCAGGAGGAAACTCAGAGTTTAACCAACTCGCCCAAAGTCACACAGCTAGGTAGGGACAGAGCTAGAACTTAAATACGGACACTGGCTGACTAGAACTCTGTTCCCCTAACTAGGAAGGAAGAGCCCTGGTGGCACAATGGTTAAGTGCTCGGCTGCTAACCAAAAGGTTGGCGGTTCAAACCCACCCAGTGGCTCCGCTGGAAGAAAACCTGGTGATCTGTTCCTGCAAAGATTACGGCCTGGAAAACTCCGTGGGGCAGCTCTACTGTCACACGGGGTCACTGAGAGTTGAAAGCCGACTCTGTGGCACCTAACAACCAGGGAGGAGGGGTGGTCAGGCCCTGCTGAGGTGCTTAGGGTGAGAGGACAAAAAGCAAGAGGCAGATGTAAGATATTGAGGGCTTGAATCATCAGAATTGAAGTACCCACCAAAAAACACCCAAACCCACTGCCCTTGAATCGATTCTGACTCATAATGACCCTACAGGACAGAGTAGAACTTCCCCATAGGGTTCCAAGGCTGTAAATCTTTGTGGAAGCAGGCTGCCACACCTTCCTCCCACTGAGCAGGTGGTGTTTGAATGGTCGACCTTTTGGTTGGCAGCTGAGCACTTTAACCAGTGCACCACCAGGGCTCCTGAAGCAGAGTGGGTTCTAATCCTAGTCCCTTCTGAATGGTGTTTTATAAAAGGGGAGAACAGAGAACTCCAAGTTGATCATGGGAGCTAAGAAGTCATAATCCCATTCAGACAGGAAAGTGCAGTCAAAACATTTTAAAAGCACAAGCAATACATGAAAATGATGGAAAGGAGAGAGTCACACACAGGGCGAAGCCGTCAAGGGGCACCTGGGGCTGCCAGAAACTGGAAAAGCTAAGGCAGGACCTTCCCCGAAAGACAGAGCATGGCCCCACTGATGCTCTGAATTTGAACTCTAGCCTCCAGAACTGTAAGACAATAAATTTATGTTTTTTAAAACCACCTACTTTGCTGTATTTTGGTATGGCAGCCCTTGGAAACTGACACCTATGTACCCTGTACCCTAGGCTAGGAGAGACGAGGGTGTTAATTCCAAAAAGAAAACGTACATGATTAGTGTAGCTGAAGGCCATATTTAGGATATTAGAGAAGCAACCCCAAGCTGAATTACCACTCTATGACTCATTTAACTATTGATCAAAGAGAAAATTTATTCACAGAGCTTTCCAAATACAAATACAAAAAAAAAAAAAAAAAAAGCACTTTTTTTTCTTTTACAAAATGCATATTGAATTAAATGTGATACAGCACAGTACAATAATGGACAAAGGAAAACAAGGTCTAATGGCTGGAAAGTGTCCTTCATTATTCTCATATACTCAACAGCATTCTCTCCTACACTGGACAGCAAGCTGCCCCTTTACTTCATAAGAATATCATAGCAGAAACTACCCAGACAGAGAAATAGTGCATATTTTTGAAGAATATTGAAATACAGAGGCTTAACTCTAAAGGTGTGTATAAAACCGAAAACATGTTGAGGGCATAGAGAGTTTATGCAGAATACACAAAATACTGATACAGTGGCTTATTGGTCCATTTGTTAGGTTAATGTATGCTTTATAAAGTAATAATACTGTATTTTAAATGTATATTAAGAAGAAAACAGAGGAGTAATGCACCGCTAAACCTCCTGGACAGTCTGTGTAATGCGTATGTGTTTGTGTGGACACAGGCGTGGGCATCTGTGTTTGCGTGGACACGGGTGTGGATATGTATGTCTGGATGTGCTTTCAGGAGTGCCATAACCTACAGGGAACGTCCCAATATAACACTTTCTACTAGCCCTTTGAATTTTCTGAGACCTCATCTTTTAAAAAAAAACCCTTGTTTGCATATATAGATTTGCGTGTGTGTGTGTGTGTGTGTTGCTTGTTGTATATGTTAACAATACTCTGTGGAATAGAAACGCCCAAAGCCCTGCAATATTTTTAGCCTTTGGTCCATTTTTCTCTACCATTCCGTACTCTCCATTTCTTGCACAAACCTCTCACAACCCTTATGCATTACAGAATGTTCCTGACCCCACTGGGTTTCATTCCACAAGCTTTGCACTGGATTAAAGCCACTGTTCCACCTTTTTGAAAGTAGCTGGATGTTCCGGGCCCATCGAACACCTCAGTCGGTCCTCTCCCCTGCTTGCTGTCGGTGGTCCCTTCTCAGTAGGGGTACTGCTTCTGTTTCTTGCCCGAGAAGCAGGCCAGCCACGTGCAGAGGAGCATGGCGGCAGCGGCACCCGCGCCCGTGCAGTAGTAGGCCCAGCCGAGTTCACACTTACCTAGACGGAAAAGAGAGGGAGAGAAAACGGGCACAGGTCAGGGTGAATGGCAGGAGGCTTGGGCTTTTTCTCCCAGTGTGCGTGTCAGAAGTGGAACTGAGATACCCATTAAGAACATGGTGTACTTATTCAAGTGGCTAACACATGCTGAAAGCTATCTAGCTATCCTGAGACTGAAGAAAGCAAGAACAGTTGTACGCGTTGTCCCTGAAGGACGTCAAGGCCTACCGCCTCCGGCTAGCTAAGAGGCTAGAAGCCTATCCCCTCCACCAACGTCCACACCCCGTGCTGAAAAACACAGCAGCAGCAACCAGGATAGAAGAGATGAAGGTGTTAATTCCAAATCTCCAAATTGCACATGCATATTAAGGTACCTTAGGAAAAAAATGCAAAAAAAAAAGATATAGTACTTCTGCAAAAGGGGCCGTTCTCAGGAGGAGATCCATTGAAGGATACTGTTACAGTGAATACTGCTATTTCATCAAATGACTTACACTTCCCCATTTGAATTAGGGAATAAAAACCCCAGGTTATCCTGGTGTCAACACTCACCGCCAAGTTAAAGCATCATATAAGTAAGAACACAATAACAAGGGTCCAAATGGGTCCTGTCATGTAATACTAATACCACTAATAATAATAATACAGCCAAAATTCTAAAAATATAATAGATTTCTTTTTCACATATTGTCTCTGTTGATTCTTCCAGTAACACTGTGAGGTAGAATACCAGCTCAGTGCAGTTGTGAAGGAAGCTTGGGTTTAGACAAGTTGGAGATTTACCCAAGATCATATATTTATAATTAGTAATAAACTGCGCCAGGACTCAAACCTGGGTTCCAAAAATATCCTATCTGGGTTAATGGGATGGGTTTCTGTATTCATTAATCTCTCTCTCTTTTTCTTCCCCATGGCATCCAAGTTATTCTTTTTGTATGCACAGTAAGGAAGCCCTCTATATTCTTCTGTGGACATTGTCTTTTCTCTCCAATCCTAATCCCTCTTTTACCCAATTTTAAGATTTTATCACAAAATGCTCCTACAGCAACCATTTCCTCTCTTGTCTTTTTTTCTTGTTTACCAGTTGTCATCAAATCAATTCCAACTGATGGCGACCCCATGTGTGTCAGAGTAGAACTGTGCTCCATAGGGATTTCAATGGCTGATTATTCAGAAGTAGATCACCAGGACTTTCTTCCAAGGCACCTTTGGGTGGACTTGGACTTCCAACCTTTTGGTTAGCACATTAACTGTTTGCAGCTCCCAGGGACTCTTAATGAAAATGTAGGTAACATACAAGAAAATCCAACACCTCTACAACAAAAAGACAAAT